GAGCTTGTTTCAGTTAATACCTGAAGTAAAGTGATTTGTGAATGGTAATTTCAAATGACTTCTGAAGTTAATGTTGTTGTTGTTGTTAAGTGCCATCGAGTCGGGTCCGACCCATAGCGACCCTGTACAGGGTTTCCAAGGGTGTAAATCTTTACGGGAGTAGAAAGCCTCATCTTTCTCCCGTGGAGCGGCTGGTAATTCCGAACCGCTGACCTTAAGGTTCACAGCCCGATTCGTAACCACTACACTACCAGAGCTCCTCCTGAAGTTAATATGTATTTTAATTTCTTTAACTGGCATTTGACTAAATATTATTACACACCTTGAACTTTTGGTATTTAATTTTTAATTTTTTTTTTTTTTTTAATGGTAGAACATCCCAAACTATTTCCTAAATACTGGGCCTCTTCTCCACTAGTGAGCATTGCATCTTTGAACTATTTATTAGTTGCTGAATGCATTGGGAAATGGGACCCCTGCATTTCCATATGGCTGCATTTCTAACCACTCTGAATTTCCTTCCAGTTGTAGTTTTCAGAATTGTGCTAGTAGTGGGTATTGCATGGCGAGCCTGAGTCATTCTGCATCAATTTTAATTTGACAGTCAACCAGTTGTTTCCAATTCCTCTAGCGATTCAAATAACCTTCTGATTCTCAGGTAATGTAAGGTCATCAAAGCTGCAAGCATTTTTCTTTTCATTTAAAAACACAGAGTAAGTGTGACTATTTTATGCAAGAGCAATTTTTGAGGACATCCAATTTGGAGTCCTGAGCTTCAATAGTTTCATTTCTCTAGATTCACTTTGGGGTCACTATTTTGAGCTCCTGACTTTGGAGGAGGGTTCGGAACGCTGAGTCCTTGGGCCGGATTGCAGGATTTAGCAGGTTAGCTAAGATGCTGTCATTTTATATTAACTCCTCTAACGCACCCCTAGACTTGGCGGGTCCTGTGCCTCCCACCCCAGCCCTAGGGTTTCCGAGTGTGGGCGTGCCAGCTCAGCTGCAACAGTCCTGCCCCTGCCTCTGTGCAGATCCACTTCTCTAGAGCGCGCGGTTTGGTCTGTTCCTCACTGGTCCCCGCCATCCATCCTCCAGTTACTCCACTGTGCGGGCCCACTGCGAGCTCGGAGAAGAAAATTCTCGTTCCCTAATTCCCGCTCTCCACTCTTGGCAGAAAACCCCAAAGGTCTCGACCCCTCTAACACCCCTCCACCCTGATGAACTTTCTCCCCAGACTCCACGATTCTTCGCAGCCGTTTGACCCCATTTCACGTTAAATATGCCGAGCCACAACCCTAGGGACCAGTGTGCGCTAATCATATCCGTCTGTCTTTGCAGAGCTTCACTGGAGCCCCAGGTACTCGAGAACGAGGAGCTGGGAGGGTCGTCAGTTCGGATGGAGTGATCTGAAATCGGTTTCTGCCTGGGGAAGGAGCTGAGGGGTGGCTGCCCCGGTTGCTGTTTCCGTGCGCGCGACCGCCAGGTGCACGGTCCCCAGCATCCCCATAGGGGAGGACGCCCCCTGGTGCCCCCGCGGCCACTAGACCTGGGAGCTCCGGGAGTGCGCGGGGGTGGAGCCTCCGGGGCAGACTCAGGACGCGAATCCAAGGCCGACTGATTGTTGGGGTCTGCCAGCGCCACTGCTTACTCTGAGGCCTCTCAGTGTGGCGCTGCCCAGCGGCAAGGAGGTGGTGAAATGAACTTACGGTCAAGGCAGAAAACAAAGTCAGCAGGTCACCTGGCAGGTTCTGTGCGAATTATGCAACGAAAGCAGGGGAATGTTTGATGCGTCCCTCCCCCATCCACCCGCCCCCGACCCCACCCCCACTTTTTTTTTTTTTTTAGCTCCTAGGAAGCCGGTTCCAGTTTAAGGGTTGGGCAGGGATCGACAAAGCTGCTCCTCTGATGTGGTTACGACTTTGCTGAACTCCTCAAGGGCGATTCTCCCTCCCCATCTTTCTTGAAGTAATGGGAACATTACTCTGAAAAAAAAAGAACAGGAAAAAGAAAAAGAAAAAAATCAAGTGAAAAAAAGAAAAGGCAGACTTAATCCAAACGTAACGCTGAGCATCAACCTACAGTTTCCATAAGGCACTGGGGGCCGAACATTAGGCTAATATAAAAACTACTACAGCATAATCCTCACATGTATTAAATTCAGTGCTTTGTTTTTTTCAATCTCTCTAGGCCTCAGGGTTATGCCTGTCAACGGAATTTAAAGAGTTAAAACTGGCCATCACTGGTTGTTTTTCCACGCCAACATTTGTGGCACTGGGACTATTATTCTGTTAACTAGGTATATGCAATTCACAGAATTTCATGGTAAATTCCCCAGACCAAATATTTGGCTGAACAAATAAACAACATTATCCATTCCTGAAAATAAGCCAGTGGGAGGAGGGGGAGGGGTGAGAGTGGTTGCTAGAAAGTGACCTGAGCCGGGGCAGCCACCGGGCTCAACACTGTGCCTCGCTAGGCCATTCCTCCAAGCACTAGAGATCTCCAGGTTCCATTTCAATGACACGGGCATTTCAGAAAGTCGCTGGAAATCGGGGAAAACAAAATGAGGCCGCCTGAGGGGAACCCATAATGGGCTTTCCCTAAATGATTTATTTGAGCTCCATACCATTAATCAAAGGGGCAGCGACCTGGGGGGCTAGGGAAAGGGGGAAGGAAGTCTTTGCAGGGAGTTTTGAAGAACTGTGGAGTCTTGCTGCCTTTGCCTGGGGCTCTGATCTTCTCTCTCCACCTGCGCTCTCCCTGGGGAAGCTGGGGCTTTGGCAAACTCTTCACTTCTATTTTTATTGGTTTCCACTAAGCTGCTTCTTTTGGAGGATTGCAGGACTTCAGTAATTAAAAACAAAAATGAATCTTGTTTCACCCACTGCTTCCCCACCCCACCCCCAGCAGCACATGCAACAATGTGTGTACACAAATGCAGGGTGCTCATACATCAGACGCAGAAAAACAAATGCCAGGAATGTATCAGATGTGTTCTCTGGTTGTACACACACCACCAACACCACCACCATTCATGATGGAGAAATACACTATCAGCTCTCCTTACACAGACTGTATAAAATCTTTTGCCCTAAACCCACCCAAGAATATGGTGGGAGCAGGGACCAGGGAGAGTCGCCCAAAAGAAATGAGCAGGTTAACTCCAGGACTTAATTTGGTTGCTAGTGGCAGATAAGAAAAGGCAGAGGCCTTTCTTATCCTCTCAACTCTTCTCTTCATCTCTTTCTAACAAGCCATTTCTCTGTCTTGTTGGCAGCCCTCAGCTAAGGGAGATACTCAAGAACATTAGCATCACCTTTTTCACTTTGGCCCAAAGTTCAGCTTTCTCCTAGGAGTATCCATTCGATGTATCACTTTCTGTCCTGCTCTAGGAGTGTAACAGAGAAGAAAGGAGAATTACCATTTGACTCAAGAAATTCTATATAGTGGAACATTGACATAGTTGTTTGCTGTCTAGTCGGTTCCGACTCACAGCGACCCTGTACAGGGTTTCCAAGGCTGTAAATCTTTACAGGAGCAGAGAGCCTTATCTTTCTCTTGTGGAACAGCTGGTAGTTTTGAACTGCTGACCTTACAGTTCACAGCCCGATTCGTAACCACTACGCTACCAGAGCTCCTACCTACTTAGAAATTCTGATAGTGCCCTGGTGGTGCTGTAGGACAAGCATGGGACTGTTAACCTAAAGGTCAGCAATTCAAACCCACCAGCAGCTCCTCAAGGGAAAGATGAGGATTTCTACCCTTGTAAAGGCTCAGACATCCTATACAAGGTCACTATGAGTCAGACTTGACTCTTAAGTAACCCAGTGAGTTTTTAAACTTAGAATTCTAACCTCTCAATAGTTTTCCTAATTGCTATCCCTCCACCTACACTCAACCCAATCTTTTAGTGTTCTGAACCTGAGAAAAGCTTTCATGTGGAGAACAGCAGACAAGGGGGAAAGTTAAGAAAAACTAGAGAAGAATTCTAACATGTGATATATTAAAATAATTGTCATCAACATTTTTGAAGGTAGGGCAATATATTTGTCTTACTTATCAACAAAACAAACAAAAAGTCCTCTTAAAAAGAAAAAAAAAAAACATACATAGGCACACACACATTAGTATGTGAGAATTTTGGTGTGAAAATACGACATTGGTGCTTGTAATAACTGGAGACTTCCTGGGGTATCATAAAGGCAGAGGTGGGAAGCATTTCCTTGAGTGGGATATTTCTCCATCACACTTGGCTACTATATACCTCTAACAGGTGAGCAAAAACAAAGGATGTACAAGGGGCACAAAACTGAGTCTTTAATCTGACCTACTCCTTTCATCCCACTGTTTCTCCAAGGCATGTGTCATCCAGATGGGAGAAGATGCTGCGTCCTTGTTAACATTAAATAGAAATGGAAAACAATTCATCCCTGGCAATTATCATCTCTCTCTACCATCAGTTTCCTTCCTGTTCCTCCAACATTCCCACCTCCAGTTACCACCCTCTGACTTCCATCCAACCCACAACCCGATCTCAACATAATCTCAGTCAAAAGGGATGTTATCATCTCTCTCTACCATCAGTTTCCTTCCTGTTCCTCCAACATTCCCACCTCCAGTTACCACCCTCTGACTTCCATCCAACCCACAACCCGATCTCAACACAATCTCAGTCAAAAGGGATGAGGCAGAAGGAAGAGAGAAAAGGACTAAAGAGCAAAGAACATAGTTTACTTTTAAAATAATGACTCATTTTATTTTTTTCTTTTAATACGTAGTTATAAATATATTTTGTCAAAATATATGATCAATATGGTCAAAACATTTGCACGTAAAGTCATAAATAAGGTCAAGGTGATTATTTAGATTGGTTTTTTTTTTTTTTTTTTTCCTTTTTTCTTTTAGACATAAAAGTCCAGCTATAAGAAGGCAGTCTGTGTACTGTGTGGGTCAGTGGATGGGAACATGTGTGTGTGTATCCCCCCAAGGACTGCCTGATCTCAGCGGCACCCACATCCCTCTACCACCATCTCCTGATAATTTTTCAGTACCACCTTGTCATACTCATCCAGGTAGAGCATGGAAATAGCACTCAATTCGGTGGGCACACAACAGGCTTTGGGGATACTGGAATTGACAGAGTTGACCAGGGTCTGCACAATGGCATGGTTAGTTGAGTTGAGGTGGTCAGCCAGTGGAAAGGGGCAGTCCCCGTGGCAGTAGAAGGCTTGGTAGCCGGGTGGGGCTACAATCCAGTCATTCCAGCCCACATCACTGAAGTCCACATAGAGCGAGTGGCGTCTGCAGTTTTTGTTCTTCTTCCGGGCCCGCTGTGGGTGATGCTTAGGGCTACGCTTGGCCCGCCGGCGACGGGTCAAGGCATGGCCCCGGCCATCATGGCCAAAGGTGACTAAGAGGGGCCGGAGTTGGGCCCATTCCCCACTCCCTTGAGGTAACGATCGGCTAATCCTGACATGCTGGCCCTGGTGGGTCCGTGTCTGATGGAGGTGAGTCACCTCAATGGCCAGCCCATAGTTGGGCTGCTTCTCCCGGGTCCAGCGAAGGACTGCAGGGCTCACATCAAAAGTTTCCCACCGTGTCACATTGTGGTGGACCAGTCTCGTGTCCAGTAGTCGTGTGATGAGGTGCCCAGGCACCACTTCTGCCAGGGGCTTCATAACCTCATAAATGTTTATACGGTGGAAGCCCCGCTCCCAGTCAGGGCCCTGGTCCACCTGTTCCCGGAAGAGCCGAAGCTCTGCGGAGGAGATCACCTCGTTCTCTGGGATGCTGCTGAGGTTAAAGAGAAAACGAAAAGCAGAGTTTTCGCTGGTCCCTGGGATGGTCTCCAGATGTTCTAAACACAATTGGAGAAGGAAAGAACGGGAAAAAAGCACATGAATGTTTTGCAAAGATGGAAAAGTAAAGAAATAGCTTAGAGCTGGGTGATAAGTGGTGAATTCTGCTTAGAGACTGGAAGTCTATTTTGGGGAATTAACTATACCTTTTAATTCAAAGGAGCAGATAAAGGAAGCAGTTAGCAAGCCAGCAATACTCAGCTAGCATTTTCCGCAAGCACCAAAGACAGAAAGTATCTCCTAACCTCCTTTAAGTCTAATAATTTCCATGTGTCAATTCCTTACGCCACCATCATCAGACTCCCCTTTTAAAAACCTCTTGGCTTTGTGTACACAGTTTTCTTTACAAGTGGTTGCAAAGAAAGAGGGGCCAGCAGAGCAGAGGCAGGAGGAAACATGCACACAACCACCCTCTCCCTTTTCTTCCACTTTTGAGTGTGTTACTAAACATTTCCCCAGCGATCTTGGAAACACAGAGCATGCCTTGTTGATCATGTTACAGAGGGGAAAATAAATTCCAACACAGTAATGATGCTGGTGGATTAATAACTCAGATTTACTTTGGAAAAGAAACATCCGCTAGGAAACATTCAGATCGGATTACAAGGCCCCTATTGAATAAACCTGACAAACACACAGCTGTAATATTAAATTCAGTAGGTGCTTTGAAAAAAGAAAAAAAAAAGGCAGAAAATCTAGCAGAAAAGGCTTTGATATAGCAAAAACACACTGCTGGGGCTAGCCCACGTCTGAGTGGCGTCATTCCCCTTCTCTTGAGCCCCTCCCTCTCTGTCTCAAAAAAAAAAAAAAAGTTTAGCAGCAGTTCCAGAATTTCATCGAGGGAGGGCAAGCAGCTCCACTCCCTAGCCTAGTGCATTGGGGGCTTTGATGTAACAGAAACTGTCCTCCTCCAACCTTTCCACTGCCTCTCTAGCCAGCCCCACTTGCTCTCCCTGAACCGGGACCCTGGGCTGGGACTAACCTTCGTGGTGAAAGCTTCTCACGGTGTTGGCCCTGCTGGCGGGGCGCTCTGGGTACTCCAGACCAATGCTGTGAATCTGTTCTTCCTCCTCCTCCTCCCCAGACTGGAGCCGGTAAAGATCCCGCATGTAATCCGGGATGACGGTGCTCTTGCTAGGCTGCGGCCGACGGCGCAGCCCAAACATCTGCAGAAGCGTCGCCTCAAAGTCCCGCAGGAGCTCATGGCTCTGCCCTGAGCGGCGTCCTCCCGCGTGGCCCTGAATCTCGGCGACTTTTTTCTTCCCCGTCTCAGGTATCAAACTAGCATGGCTCGCGCCTCCTAGCAGGACTTGGCATAATAAAACGACCATCAGCATTCGGTTACCAGGAATCATGGTGTCTCTGGGGAGGGGGTAAGGGTGGAAGGTTAAAGAATAAACACCAATAAATAGAGAGAAACAGAGATGTCGCTACCTATGCATACTAGAAATGGAGGGTCAAGATGTAAAACAGGTCAGAAAGATCAAGTTTGTGTCTTCTCCCTCACAACCGCCCCCCCTTACTACCAGCTGCAACCATGCACGGCCTGAAAGTAGGAATTGCCCTGTAATTACTTGGTCTAACTTGTTTACAGTCAAATAACCCCAAATCAGATAGCCTCCATCCTGTTAATCTTTTTTTGTCCCAACTGCTATCTGAGCCATGATCTCAGCTAGGCTTCTCTAAGGATAAACAGTTAACATGGAGGGGGCAAGAAAGAGTGGGGGGAGGGAGAATTAAAATGCCATCGCTCTCAACTTCAGACCTTCAGCCTTTTTCCCTCTTCCTCCACCCCCCACCCCTCTTTCTCCGCCCTCCAAGCCCAACTTCCACATCTTCCAGCTGGTTCGGATAGGGAGGGAAGGCAGAGAAGTAAAGGCAGGGCAAGACACTGAGTGTCGGGGTCCAGAGACCCAGAGACCAAGGAAGCTGTCTGAGAGTTTCCCAGTTGGCTTGACCAGTACATTTTATTGCGGCCGATGAGTCTGAAATGCCCAGCAAAAAGCGTCCCATCGCACCCGCGCTCTCACTTCTGGAGACTGAGGGTGTGGGGCGATTCCCAGCGACCTCTGTAAATTGTATCAGATGACTGGGAAAACGCCAAGAGTGTACTGGGCGCTCCCCAGTGAAGGCTGGGGATCCACAAGGTACAACTCTGGACTGCCGAGTTTCCATCTCTTTAGCTCCCCTGAGCTCCGCTTACTTGCAACTTACGGATCAGATCCGAGAGGGTGAGAGGGAGCTAGCAGCACTGGTAAAAGGAACCGGTGCGCTCAAGCGCGCCTGGCTGCTGAGCCAAGAGGGGAGCGACAGGGCGGCCACTGAAAAGAGCCTGGCCTCTGGAAGGAAGATCCGACGTGAAGGACAGACAGCAAGGCAAGCAAGAGTAGGGAGGGCAGAGTAAATTCCTGGGAGGGGGGAAGGAAGAGGTGTCTACTCACTGACAGAAAACAAGGCATATAATAACAGTCCATGATTCTTGACAGCCAATCTTGAACAAACTTGCTGGAAAGGCTCAAAGGAGCTGCGGCAGTGCGTTGCTCGGGATGGCACTACGGAATGGCTCCTAAAATGAATATTTGAATATAATGAGACTCCAGCGCAGAAAGGCTGTTTTTCTTCCAGCCCCTCCGAGTCACGTGAATGCAGAGGCCCCGCCCCACCCCTGGAGGAGCCCGCCCTCCCCGCAGCGGGCGTAGAAACGGCCCCTGAGCCCTCCCCTCTAGGTCTCCGCCTCCTCCTGGCGAGGCCAACCTCTTCGCTGGCCGCCAGAGCCTCAGCGGTCTGTGAGAACTCTCGGTGGTGCTCAGCGGAGCCCGCGGCCCGTCACCAGCACCAACGCACTCCTCTGGCCGCTGGCGCCCCTGACGCAGCGAGTGGAGGTCGCAGTCCGCGCCTCTCCCTGCCACACGAAGTGTACCCGGCTGTGACCTGAAGCCAGAATGGGGCGCGCTGCAGAATCTGCACCTTGCAGCAGGAGCCGGGTTCAAATGGTCCGGGAGCTGGGTGACTGAATCTTGGCGGTCGGAATACAAACCACCAAGAAAAAGAAAGCTCCGATGAACCCTGGGTCGGGAGCTGGGGCGACTGAATCTTGGTGGTCCAAACACAAACCACCACCAAGGAGTACTAGAAAAAGAAAGCTCCAGGAACCCTTCACACCCTCACGCACGCATCCCTCCACTGCCTCCCCCGGGTCTCGGTGAAGCCAAATATTGCTCCTGGTGACAGCCAGCCACTCCTGACAAACCCCTATGATTGTTCAGACGAGTAGGGCCTCTGCTTTAGCTACCAGCCCAAAGCTGCTGACCCTGTCACACTCGGGGTGTGTGTATGTGTGTGTGTGTGCAAAGTTTAGGAGGTGATCGGGGTGGGAGGGGAGGGGCCATTAGGCTGTTTTCTCCTGGTACTTTGTGACAAGAACCCCTGTACACCCCTGTGGACGCTGCATCCGCCTCCCCGCAATACCCCTTATCAAAGCAAATCCCCAAAGACACCAGTCGCCGACAGAGCGGTTCAAGGCGGAGGAGTGGTGGAGGAAGCAGGGCTCAGGGCGGATTCAAAAGGAGGCGTCGCCGCCGCCGCCGCCGCCGCCGACAGGACGCGTCCCATTTTTCAGGTCTTAATGTCGCTGAGGTTTCTTACAACTGTCGACCCGGCACAGAAAGGAAACCCCACCACATTCCCAGAAGTCTAGAAAACCGTGAACAGCATTCGGCCCGCTCTCGACCTCGGCGTCTGTGTCTGAGTCTCTCTCTCTCTCTCTGGTTTGGCTCATTTTTTAAACCACCACTACTCTCCCCGCCCCCCCTTCCACCACTTCCTCCCCCAGTCCCCTTCTTCCTTTGCACCAGCTGCCGAGTCGCAACAAATATTCCATCAAGAATTTTATTACCAACCTATAGCTTCAGACTCTAACCGAAGATGCGTGAGTACATTGGTTGCTGAGCCGTAAGGGCCAGTTCAGTTCGAAAACCGTCACCCGGTGTAACTCTGTGGCCACGAACTGCTAGCGCTCAGTGTCACCTAGAGGCCAGAACCCCAGACACAAACTCTAAAGTCCAGGACCCAAGAGCAACCCTTCTCACCCCAGCCTACTCCCTCAGCCTCCTTTTCTAAGGCTGTTACCAGTTCCTGCCATTGGTCGCTTTGGAGCTCAAGGGCTCAAGCTTCCCTCTTCGTTACAATTAATTTCCTTTTTTTGGTAGGGAGTAGTGAGGGGGACACTCACGGGAAGCCTTTAGTGAAGAGGAGAACAGGATCGAGCAACTCAGCCCTCAGCCGGGGCCGCAACTGCCCCACGCCGCTGCCTGAAGCTGCAGGTCCGGTTGTGGGAGGTGCGGGCGTCCCAGCGCCACCGTCTGCGTGCGCCCCACCGTCTGCGCCAGGCGCACCGTTCTTCAGTGCCCTTCGGCTTTCCAGCTCCCGCGCCACCTCTGGGGCGGACTGCGAAAGGGCTGGGATGGCAATTTTTATTTTTTTGAGAAGTCTCCCTTAAAAAGCCCCGGGGGGGGGGGGGGGGGGAGCTCTAGAAATGGAAAAAGCAGATAGAGTCCAACAGGTTCCCGAGGGATGAGCGGACAATGGAAGGGGCGGGCGCATGGGATCCTAGGACAATCCTTGTCCCCTCGGAATCTCTCAGGGCGGCAGGGGGAATTGTATTTTGCGCTAAAACCCAGGAGATGTGGGAAGAGGGGGCAATGGTTCAGTATCGGAATTAGCAGGACTTGTCTCGAATCACTTTTATGAAAAAATAACATTAAAAGACAACTTTTCACCCGAGTCTTTTTTTTTTTTTTCAAAGACAAGATGCAATTACTGGCGGTTTCACCTTCCCGCCGGAATCTTTTCCCAACTATAGTTTGTTCGGAGGTAACCTCAGTTTACCGAAAAAGGCTTTAGCCCAGAAACTCCTCGCAAACCATCTTTGAAAGGTGTTCCCGGGTGTCTAAGGTCGCATGCCGAACTCCCGCAAGGACCTGGGAGCCCCAAGACCTCTTCCCTGTCGACTCCAAGCAGTGAAGGACAGGAATTATCTCGGCTGCCGCTTGCCTCACCAAGACACAAAACAGCAAGATGACGCTTCCCAGAGTCCCTGGTATCCTGGCCATCGTCTCTACAAACCTGACTCTCTCTCTATATATATAAAACCGATAGAAACGAGGCTCCTTGTATGTTGCAATTCCCTGAAAAGAACTTGTGGAGTAGACGCGTTCTACCGCCGCAGTTCGCAAGCTCTCTTCCGCGCCTGGCCGACCAGGGGCAGAAAGGGTTGTCACCCCCACGATGCACCCCTCCAGCGGAGCGGAGCACAGACTCCAAAGGACAGAAGGACTGCACTCCCCACCTTACCTTCCCACATCTTCAGACCTCAGAGTCTGAGCCCTCTCCCCTCTCACTTCTTTTCCTTCGGGGATCACAGTCACTCCGGCAACCGCCAACGCACTCTGCTTACAACCTACACGTCCCTATTAAGGGATTCTCTTCTTCTCTTCTCTCTACCCGCCCCCCCCAACACACACACACCACACGCACCCATTTGTAGGAATCGCCCCGGGGGCCACCCGAAGGTAAAGGTGGCTTGGGTAGACTTAGTAGTAGTAGTTAGTATCTGTGTCTTTCAGCACTAGCATCCCACCTCCAGGGCCACCGTTGGAAAAAAATTAGGTCACCTTTTGCTTGGACCACAGTCTTTCTCTTCTCTCCTGCCCCCAAAGATGCTCTTCGGGTCCCTCTGCCCTGAGCTTCTTGCCAGGCAGCCTGGCTTACCATATGTTCGTGCAGTAGCGGGCTCGCCAGCAGCAGCTCCTAAGGACCTCTGAACCGCTGCAGTGAACCTGGACGAGGGTCGGGGGCTGGGGCGCTGCAGGCTCGAGACAGCTCGGACAGGAATCCCATCAACGAGAGAGGCGAGATACTCAGCCCAGAGCAGTAGCAGCGTCTAGGTCTCCCATCCCTCGGCTTGGATGCCAAACTCACCTAGCTTCCGGGCCAGGCCGGGTTCTGCGTTCCTTCTCTTCCTCCCTCCCTCCTCCTCTGCCCACTCACAGCTTCTCCTTCCTCCTCTTTCTCTTTCTCTCTTTCTTTCTTTTCTTCCTCCTCCTCTTCCCCAGCAGCCCCTCCCTTCTTCCCTCCTCTCTCCCTCGCCTCCCTTTCTGGAGATGGGAGCCCCGCCCACATCCTCCCATCCTGCGGCCCGGCCTCGCCGTGTAGGCCCAGGTCCCGGAAGCCCGGCAGCGGCTGAGTCCGCAGTTGCAGCCCCGGCTGGGACGCCGATGCCTCCAGCTCGGGGAAGCGGCCGGGGCTCACCTGGGGACCACGTGCAGAGGTACTAGAAAGCATGCACCGACTAGTC